TCCCACGACTGGGCTCTTTGGCTCAGCAGGGCCCGGGGCTGGAACAGGGCGCCCTGGGAGATGAGGCCCGCGGTCTCCATCTTGCTTGCGAACCCCAGCTTTCTGGGCCCCTCGACACAGCTGAGGACGCAGGTGCTGCTCCCTGCCACCCAGGCTCCAACGGAGAGCCGTCTCTGCCCGAAGGGCCAGGCCAGGCTCTCCTCACAGACGTTGGCCGAGTGAGAGCCATTGTGTGTCCATGTCAGATGATGCAGCGGACAAACGTCAAGGTTTGAGGCCAGCGGGCCCCGCCTTCGCCGCTGCCACCGCACCGCTGTCCTGCCCCCAGCCCATCCGAAAGAGCCATCCTGGACACTGACGGAGAATTTAAATGGACGCTGCCTTCTTACTTTGTACATATAACCACACAGCTGAGGGCGGCAGGGCCAGGCCCAGACCCTGCTCCTTCCCATGGGACAGGGAGAGCGGAGCCACTGGCCAATGCCAGCTCTGCAGGCGGTGCCTGGAAACCTTACAGGCGGGCCTCGAGGGAGGCCCTGAATACCAACCGCAGTCCAGACCAGCAGGTGCTCCTTGTGGGAGGAAACGTGACTGACTCGACAGAGGATGCATGCGCGTGGCAGGGGTGGGCGGTGCTGGACGCAGCAGGACCTGAAGCCCGGTGCCCCAGGCGGAGCCCCAGGCTCCACCGTGAGACCCTGCCTCCCCGGGGAGAGGGTCTCTGCATGACGCCTCGCGGGGTACGCCCGGGGCGGCCAGCCCAGATGAAGCGCCTATTTCTTCGAGAGGGACCCGCATCTGTGTCCCGCCCACTCATGACGTGCACAGAGGACCAGGAGCAATGAATGGGGACAGAGGGGATGCTGGCGTCTTCCCTGGACCATCCCTTTGCCCCCGTCCTTGGTCAACTGTGAAACGGGACAGAGTAGGAGGGGGGCTTTCTGGGGGGACAGGTGCTCCGTGACCATTTCCTGGGAGCGTGGTGAGTGGGTGCGGGGGCGTGAGGGGCTTGTCCGGGGACAGCAGGGCTAAGCCCTGCCTCCCTGAGTCTGGGGGCCGCACCGCTCCCTGGTCCCTTCCCCGCCTGAACCCTGCGCCCACCGCCCCCCCGCTTGAGCAGCCGGACACCAGGCCCGCCCCCTCTGAGCGGGCGTCCGCTTCAGGTCCTTCTGCGTGCCAGACACCCTTCTTTAGGACAGTACGAGAGAGGCGGGGGAGGGGGAGAGAACAGGAGGGACGGGGAGGGGGCCTGAGGGGTGTCCGCAGACGGCCAGGTGAGCGCGAACCTCAGCATCTGCCCAGCCTGCAGCGACTTGGAAATCAGGGACATCGAGGGCATGAGATTAATTACTAGCCACCAAGTGGCTTGAGGTTTGGGAACAAGGAACCTTGGCAGGTGTGACAGGGCCAAAGCCGCCTGCAAGCCACAGCTCTGTGAACCCATGCGGGAAACGCGGCCTCTGTGCCCTGCGGAGAGGCTGGGCTGCGGGGACCGAAGGCCGATGGGTGGGCTGGACGTCAGAGAGGCCAAGAGCTGGCTTCCGAGCGAGGCAGGGCCGCCTTCAGGGGCCGCTGAAGCAGGGGACAGCTAGACCCGAGGAAGTGACCGTACCAAGCAAAGTGGGGCTCCAATGGCACCCACATTCTGGAAGTCTGGCCTGTATGCTAGGAAAAGAGCATGGACTCTGCCCACGTTCCAGGACAGGGACCTGTCACACTCGATGTGTTCAGGGACAAATGCTCCCCGTGCGTGAACAGCCGCTGGCCTCGCGGAAATAGTCCAAGCCAGCTCAGTCTCGCCTGGCTGGAAAAGCAGCATGTTCGGTCCTTTCGAGGGAAGCTGACACTCGGTTTCTGGAGAATTAATTAAGGCCGGCTCCCCAGAAGTGGACAGAGGGACTGAGACAGCCGTGTGGGATGCAGTGGAGACACCCACAGCCAGCTCGGGGATCAGAGAGGCCCCCTCGGGCCCCGGTAGTCGCTGGGAGGGCTGGCGGGATGGCTTGTGGAGAGAACTCCGGACGGGGGAAAGGCCCAGGGCCTGCCCGCGGGGCCGGGCGGAACAAGGCCCTCGCGCTCCTGCCGTTGGGGGCCTCGGTGCCCAGCAGCCCCCGCTGCGGCCCCGGGCGCCCCGGACGCCGGCTGAGGCCCTGCACTGAGCGGAAGCTGCTCGCAGGCTGACAGGCACTGCCGTGGGGGTGGCAGGCGTGGGCGCCGACGCCGCGTCTGGCCGCCACGTGCTGCGGAGCGGTTCGGCCACAGGGGCGTGAGCAGGTGTGGCACGGGGCGGCCGTGTCCCATGCAGAGCCGCGAGTCGGGCCGTGCGGCAGGCAGGCGGCGCCCGGGGCACTTACCAGGGACCCTCGCTTGAACTGACTATACCAGGTGGAGGGCCGCTCTGTGGGCCAGCGGGCCAGTTTACTCTGCAAGATAGGAGATGCGCGGGTTTGAAGGGCACCCGCGGGGGCGGAGGCTTCTTACCAGTTTACCGCGCTTGAATTCACTGAACCAGGAGCCCGGGTTTTCTTTGGGCCAAGAGGTGATTCTGGCCTAAACATCCAGCGGGAGGCGGGGAGAGAGAGAGAGAGCAGCGCGGTTACTTCCCCGACGTCGCGAGGCGCCCCGTCCTGCAGTCCCGCCCTGGCTCCAGGGGGCTGGCCAGGGAAGGGTTCCTGTAGGCGCCTCTGCCCTCCCCCTCCCCCCTCACAGAGCTGGGGCCCCCAAGACCATGAGGACAGGGGGAGTCTGGCGCCTGCTTTGGACGCAGGGTCAGACTGCATTGTACCACTTGCTGCATATCTGGCATGAAGCACACTGCCTGGCCCTTGGTAACTGCTGAAAAATACTTGTGAAGGACGGACGGATGGACAGACGGGAGGGAGGGAGGAGTAACTGAATGAATGGTCCGTCA